CAATCTTATCTATCTATTATTATTAATGTTATTTTATTTTATTTCATTGTGTTCCCAATGGAACTTAGGGCTTCAAGCTAGAGTTTAGAAGTTTCAGTAGCAGTAAAGTTTTCTTTACGGGATGCGGTCGCTAGTCTCCCCCTCGCCCACCATCCATCCCTCTTTATTCGGCTTACTACCGGCTAAGCGAAGTAAAGGAGAGCGTCGGATAGGTATCGAACCTCCGACTACTTGCTTCTTTGGCCAGTGTCTTATCACTGGCCATGAACATCGGAGGATGTATTTCATTAGATCCATCTCAAATTAAATTTAATCACTTTTGTACAGCCACCTTAATGTTGCTATGGTTTCCATTTGTTTATTATTATCATTATTATTGTCATCATCGTTATTTATTGTTGTGTCTAGTTTCCTATAATTTCCACTCCATTCATTACAACTCAGCAGTTGAAAATAACACTTAATTTTCTCTCGAATAAAGCATATTGCATTTATGCACTATAGTTATTGATATTATTTTTAAATTGTGTATGTTTATCCCTTAACTGTCTAATGATTTTATTATGTTTAAAGTGTATAGTCAACATTTCACTCTTGAAATTTATATCCGCTCAATTTAAAACTGTATTTTTACCCTACAGCATAAAGTGTATTGATGCAGATTACCAAAAACAATTTTCGAAATATTCTTAAACGAATTATCATCTAAGTTGATCACTGAACAAAATAAATAAATTGGAAACAATTAAATTAGTCAAAACAAATATTCCTGCCCCTCTTTATAAATATTTGTGTATTTTTCAAACATTTTTCAATACTGAAAATCGATTTGTTGACGAGAAACAATATTGTATTATTCTCAGTGTTGTTGTTATTATTTTCCTCGCTGATACCGGTAGACACTATCAGGGTTTTAGACATCTCAACAACACACGCATAACTAGGCTTATTTTGTTCGCTTCACTGAAGCCTCGATTCGTTTATTTTCCATCTGAAAGATTGACAGTTATGTGCAAGTTTCGAGGTTGAATAATTTATTGAGCAACGTCAAGCAACGGTTTATTGATTCATTTACTTTTTGTATGACAACGGTATGATTATTATGAAGATGTTGAAATCACTTGATCAAGATAAATTTATGCTTGATGACAATTTAAATTGATATTTTCATCCCCGCTTACCAGTTTTATTTATTCCTTCATGTTCCCATTGAAAAACATAGGGTTTCAAGCCAGAGGCTTCATCTTTACCAGCTTTATTACTGGCTTAGTAAGGTAAAGGAGTGCGTCGGCTGCGGATCGAAACCCGGACCACGCGTGTCGTTGGCGAGCGTCTTAACCGCTGTGCCACCGACGCACACCAGTTTTAATGATGGCTTTCTTAAAATATCAATAATAATAGACATATCATACTCTATTGAAGGATTCAGCTTATTTCTGAAAGATACTTGATAACTATAATTTTTGTTTCTATTTCACCATAGATTATTCTGTATTTATTAAATCTTAATGCATTTAGACTAACGCCATTATTGCAAAAGGTTTGGAAAAAAAGAAAGGTACCTACCGATTGGAAGAAAGCCTGGCTACCTTGCCAAGCTGCCAAGGAAGGGCAAATTACGTCTCACTCTGCAAGAACTGACGTGGAACAATGCTCTTGTTCACGTCAAGTAAAATACTAAGTCACATCCTCCTGGAGAGAAAATACGATGCACTGGATGCAGGACTCCGTCCACCACACGGAACGAGCTGGCTGGATTCACGAAAGGCAAATCATGTGCTGATCAAACTCCAACTCTACGCACCGTCATCACAGAACAAAGCATAGAATGGCAGTCAAAACCCTCTCTCTCTACCTCAACTTCATCGACTTTGAAAAGGCTTTCACTAGACAGCGTTGACCGAGAGGTAATTTGGAAACTACTTCAACACTACGGCGTGCAGTGCCCAAGTCATTATCAGCCTCATTCAACAACTGGCTATACTACAATGCCATGTGCCAGGCAATCAACAACGGGAAACTCAGCAATGCTTTTGAAGTGAAGACAGGAGTAGGACAAGCTGGCTATGATATTATCAACTATGGTAGAATGCGTCATGCGTCAGCCCATGAGGACTGAGAAGACAGGAATATGTTGAACAGACAAGAATACTCCATATGATCTGGATTATGCAGTTGACATATGTCTCGTGTCACACAAACTCGGAGACTTACAAACTGAAATCAGCAAACTAGCAGAAGAGTCAGGCAGCGAAGACAGAACTCCAGGCTAACATAGGGAAGGTGTTGGTGATGAAGATAACCAACCAACAGCGAAAATAACCAGCACAAGTCACCATTAATGGGAGAAATTCGAAAGAGGTTACTTTATTCACCTATCCAGGAAGCACAGTTTCAACCAGAGGTGGAACGAATGAAGATGTTAAAGCTAGCGAGAATCGTAAAGGAGGGATACACCTTCACCAACCTGAAGAAAGGTTTGAAATCTTCCACACTAACTCACCAAAAGTAACAAAATTCGGATTTTCAACACAAATATGAAGTCAGTCAGTTCTCCTTTAAGAGTAAAAAACTTGGCCAGTGTGTCACGAAAAGGATTTCCAACAGACCACTTCACACTTTTATCAACAGCTGCCTTCGCTGGCTGACCAGAAAGAAGTAGCAACAACAAACTCCAGTTAGCAATAAACCAACCTATAGCCTATTAGTCAACAAATGTGTAGGATGGATGGACCGGGCATATGTTGAGGATGCAGGCCATATTTACATTGGAGTCTCAAAGGGAAGCAATGGGTGGGTCATTGGTGCGAGGATATCATGGAGGAGATCGTGCGAGTTGGAGGAGGAGATGAGAGATTATGGGCAATCGTGGACCCAGAAGAAGAGGATAGCAGGAAACAGAAGAAAGTAGAGATATCTTATTGAAGCCCTATGTTCCACCAGGAACCTCCACCTTTAAATTCGGGTATACTTTGAAGGTTTGAATTTGCTGTAGCGACTGGATTTATTTTCCAGGCTGGAGTCGCTAGCCTCACACCTGGTTTTACCTCTTTTTCTAAACGTAGTACTGGCTTTTAAACTAGGTAGCATCGTTTCAACTAAAGGCTGCACAAATGGACACGTCAAAGCCAGGATCAGAAAAGCAAGAAACACCTCCAATTATCTGAAATCACAAGAAATACCTGCTGCATTCATTATAAGGAACAAATTCCAATTTTCAACATTCCAATCGACAAGTCGGCGCCTATATATGGTTCAAAGATTTAGTTTGTCAAAAGAATATCAAACAGACTTTCATCAACAGATGTCTTCGGTGGCTGAGTACTGAAAATCAGATAACTGACTAGCTGGCCATAAAGGATAAGAAACAAGTAACTCTGGTGGTGGGTGGGTGCATCATTGGCATAGAGGTAGAATGCTCGCCGACCACGCACTTGGCCTGGGGTTCGACTCCTGGCCGACGCACTACTTTACCTCACTAAGCCAGTAATAAGACTGGTAAAGAGAGAAGGTTGGGCGTGATGCTAACAGTCCCATCCTGTAAAAATAAAAACTACTGCTACCGAGACTTCAAGCCTCTAGCCTGAAGACCTATGTTCCACTGGGAACATAAAGGAATAAAAAACTCTTGTAGGCAGCACATCACACAATACTATAGTCTACCATTCAGAAAATATGCAAAAGGGAATGAAGATAAATTAAACATATACTGTCGAGGCCGTTGAGTGGTATGGGGTGTTAGATAGACCCTCAAATCGAACATGAATAAGAAATAACGAGTAGCATGTAGGTACGACAATGACGTGGAGGAAATAGTGTGAGGAGGAGGTAAAAGCCTATGGGCAGTCGTAGAGCAATCTGAAAAGCACTGCAAAGAAACAAGTAGAATGGTGATGCGCTCATGAAGTCCTGTGCTTTATTCGCAACACAAAGAAATAATAATATGAGAAGAGATTCAAGAGTATTTGTAACTTAAATGTAAGATTCCTGTAGTATAGACTAGCGAAAGAAAGGGAGGATACATTCAGACTTAACTAACGGATTCCGAGGGACAACTTATGCATGTAAATAAGTTTAGTTGTCCATCTCTTAACAATGAGAGCTGTGCCAACCGGCTTTCTTCACAATCCAGTCACTTTTTGACTTTGATCTTTAGGTCTATTAATAATTTTTCATGGTATTTCCTTATTTTTGATTAAGTCTAACAACCAAAAGTCTTTTTAACAGAAGTCTGAACAAACAAACTTCATAAATGCTAATACACAGCAGGTGAATTCACGTTGAAAAGAGAAGAAAGCCTCGAAATCAAATATCCGAAGGACAAGATACACTTTTCTAGTGTATTTATGAGGATTTTGAAGATCATTTAGCAAACTATGCTGTCCATATTACCGGGTTTCGCAGTTGAAAAGCATGCTAATACTGTTCAAACTACCAAGGAACGCTTAAGTGACGTATTTTGAGCTAGCCTTAGCTTGAAAGACTAGCGTTATTATGAGAAAAAAGACGGATAACTAAGGTTATGACAATAAAATTTCAGCTACATGAACACCTCCCAATTAGTGATGATGTGTTGGTCATATTTTAGCTATTCAACAATTATGAAAAATTAGTCAATTAAATTTAAGTCTGTTTACAACATTAAAAGTGGATTAGAACTCAGAGTTTGAATACTACTGAAGTAAACAAGTGACACTGTTGTAACTAAAAAATGGGAAATTAAAAATCAAATACTTTGTTTCCAGTGATTATTAATCAAGGATTAACAGAAATCAGAATTCGTGTAGTATAATGCATTAGTGGTGGCTGCTATCACCCAATTTCAACAGCGCAATAACAAGGGGAAACACTCATTTCCAGACAACCTGTCCTATAGGTAACAAAATCCTTTAGGAAAAATGTTTGTCATTACAATTCTTACAAAAAAAATAATGAATTTGACTGAAACAAAACAACAAAAAAAGATGAAGACTGTTTCAAGCAGGAAGAAAACTGCTTACCTGTACCCTCATCATCTTCTTCAGCAGATTCTAAGTCTGGTATATCGACGGCTTTCTCATCAATTTCTGTTTCTTTCAAGTTTTCAGGTATTTGTGAACACTGAGTTACTAATGTTGATGGATTAGGTTGACTTTTGTCGACTGACAGCATGTTTGTTACAATCCTTGGTATATTAAATTTACTTGTGTTACAAGATGGTGAAGTAGATTCTTCAGCTTGTTCTGAAGCTTGATCTTGTCCTTGTTGTTGTTGTTGTTGCTGTTGCTGTTGGGTGTTTGTCGATGTGTTACTGGTTGGCCGGGAAAGTGAACTCTTTTGTGAACTTGTTCTAGATGTCAATGGAAGTAGTGATTGACGTATAGCTGTCTCTAAATGTCTAGCTAAGTCTAATCCAGTCCCTGGAGGTGGTGGTAGTATAGCTGTCCGATAGACACCATCACTAATATCATTCTCTTGAATACAATTACCAGTTACTTGAGTTTTCCATGATTTTGGCAAGCCAACTTCGAGTAAATTTGATCGTTTTGTATCTGTTACTGGTGGTTCAGGCAGGAATATTAATCCATAGACAGGTGCAGACGCTTTGCGAACATAAGACATCGCTGTAGGCAAGGTGGGAAAATGAGATTTACGTCTAGACTGCAATCGTAATAATGTATCATTCCCATTATCTAAACTCTCCATGTAGCCTAACTGACCAACATAATAGATCAAATCATCGACACAACGAAGCTCGAACACATGATCTGGTATGATAACTGAATTTTCCAACTTATTATCATTGTCATTCTTATCATTGCCATTATTCTTATTATTAGTAATATCAGTTAATTTTGTAAAGGAATTGTCTAGATTAATTGTTTTTAAACGTGCTCCATTGTCGGTCATAGTCTCATGAAAAGTTGACTCTTTATGAGATGATAAATGTGGCTGACACCATGGGTACGGATTGGTTCCAGCTGGTTCCAAACAGATAATGTCGTTTAAATTCAATTCCTGTTAAATGATTAATATACAAAACATTAATATTAGTATATATGACACTAGAGAAATAAGTGAATGTCAACTAGTGATCGAACCAGTCAGTAACCAATCAAATCCGTGCAAATCAACACCCGATAACTAAGTGGATGAACGTAAAATCAGACACTTAAAAATAAATAATAATAGTAATAACGGTGACAATGGCCTAATTCCAAACAGTACTTTAGGTACAATGTGGAATTTTCATCATGTAATACAATATTCCATCTGATTTCCTCTTTACATCACTCAGTACGGGTGTGAGGTGACTAAGAGAGCATTTGCATTCATAATATCGTTGAATAAGAATATGAATGTAAAGTCAAAATTGAAGTGGAAATATGGACAACAGTATATTACCGAAAGGAAGAATGAAAAGGTGAGCTTACTTACTGTAAGTAAGCTTACTTCGGAGTAAGTTATTAGTGTCAAGTGTATTACTTTCCTTATTGCATAGAATGCGTGCCAGATAAGAAGGTGTAGTAGAGTTTTCACACTTGGTTGTCCGAACATAGAGTCACTTACAACTGCTTCTAGTCACACCTGACGAGATGCATGAAGTGAGTTATGTATAGAGATGATTCTAAGAGTCTGACAAGATGATATTCGTCGACTTCTTGCGTGAGTTCAAGTGTCTGTCTACAACAGGATTAATAGATTGGTTTGGCGACACCCTACTGACAGCATTTAGTGCCTTTCGTAATGTAACAAAGTCTTCCATCAGTAGCCGAGGAAGGATTAAGGGTGTGTGTGTGTGGGAGAGTGATGGAACAATAAAAGAGAGTAGGTAGAATACAAGAACTTACAAAAGGCTGTAGAAATAGATACTCAGTGATACCAGACTATCTTAACTTCCTTACTTAGAAGGTTAGACGAAATATCTTTCTAGAAATTATCACGATGTTGGAAGACCAATAAAAATCAGATGAAAGACATAATACAAGATATTTAACAATCAACCTAGTTTCAACTTCAGTGCCGCGTCTATGATACAAGAATCACGAAGATGAACCAATTCATGTAAATCACATGTCGGACTGTGAAATTAACAGCCTGATATCTGGAGGGATTTAGCTTAAGACCACTGGACAAGGACTACTGACTAATTTCCGATAAAATGCTACATAAGTTTTATGATTAAAAAAAAACAACTAATTATCCATTTACTTCGACCTGTTAAATATAGGTAATATGACGTCCATCCCGACTGTGTAGTAAACAATCCAGCCTACATTGAAATCAAATGAACCTCAGTTGTTTCAGCTGAATTAGTCATGCGTGATACTGTTTGTCCTTCTTTTCGGAGTGTTGTACTACTGGAATTCACTTAACTTGTGTTTTAGATTGTTTGTTTTTTTTTGGTCGTTAATTCGACGTGTCAGTCTTTATTAGACTTCATGTTAATGTCATTAGTGACGTAAAAGGCAGATGGATGACATTTTATAAGTTTTCGTTCTTCGTAAAAATGAGATGATACATACTGCGTACTGACTAATTGATGTGTTAAGTTGGTTCAGGCTCAACGGAAGAAACTGGAGAAATATCTGATTAATTGTTTCACCCTTAATAGTTACAGATGTCTTATTACTGAAGCAAAAAAATGATTTTCTATAAATTAGTTTCCACCAGGTTCTAGCGTCAGCTGGGATACTATTAAAGATTAAAGAGTATGAGGGGGGGGGACTGTTTTGGTCTAGCTTGAAGCTAATCACAAATGTACCTCAGCTACTGCCTCAAGATATCAGGATTCTCGATTGTTGTCGCAAATGTTAGCATTGATTGATATAAGAATAAAACTTGGGCACTGTGGTAGAGTGTAATTCCATTATGGGTAAATTTTTATTTTGATAGAGTCTCACAGTGTTATAACACTGTGGTATAACACTGTGAGACTCTATCAAAATAAAAATTTACCCATAATGGAGTTAGCATTGATTCTAGTAGGATTTAGCTATTCAATTTACGCAGCACTAACAGTGCAAGATACGCACGCCTTCATCAACCTGAAACCAGTTTGAAAATCCTCTGCAGTCTACAGCATAAAGAAAAATATTCGGATTTCGCAATACAAATGTGAGGTCAGTTAGTTCTTCTTTACGAGTAAGAAATTTGGCCAGTGTGTCACGAAAAGGATTTCCAACAGACCACTTCAGACTTTTACCAACAGCTGCCTTCGCTGACTCCATACTGAAGATAGAATGGCTGGCCAGAAAGAATAGGCAACAAGAAACTCTAGTTAGCATAAACCAACAGGCAAGAGCCGATCGCTCAACAAATATGTAGGAGGAAATGTGGATGGATGGGGGGCACACTTTGAGCAGGTCATCGAATGACATAGCACGTAATGCAGGCCATCGCTTAAGTGGAGTCCCAATGGGAAGTGACGAGTCGGTCGAGGGTGCGAGGATGTTATGAAGGAGATCCTGTGAGTTGGATGAGGAGATGAGAGATTATGGTCAGTCGTGGACCCAGATGAAGAGGACAACAAAAAATAGAAGAAAGTGGAATTGTGTTATTGTAGCCCTATTTACCACTAAGACCCCAAGGGAATAATTTAATAATAATAACAGCGCATGGTGTTGCTTTCAATGCTTAAGAGTATAATTCGATAACGTCACACAGTGTTATTCAGTAATATTTAACTGATGATATGGGGGCTACAAGCTTTGAAGATTCAGTGAGTTGCTTTTACAGGCTATTAACGCATAGACGAATTTTAGGAGTGCAACTTGGAGGATCTGGACTTCGCCGATGATATATGTCTGATTTCCCACAAACTCGAAGATATGCAAGCGAAAAGCAACAAGTTGGCAGAAGAAGCATCAAAGATAGGACTTTAGGTGAACATAGAGAAAACAGAGGTGATGAAGATTCCTGGGCAACACCTAAAACAGCAACAACAACAACAGACAACAATCAGCATAAATGGGAGGAATCTGAAAGAAACAACCTCTTTTACCTACCTGGGAAGCATCGTTTCAACTAAAGGCCGACGGAACTGACTAGGATATCAAAGCAAGGATCGGAAAAGCAAGACAAGCTTTCACTACTCTCAAGTCTGTGTGGAGGTCAACAACACTCAGCATCAAAAATAAGATCCGGATTTTCAACTCCAATGTGAAGTCAGTCAGTGCTACTATATGGATCAGAGACTTGCACTGCGCGTCATAAAGAGCTTCTCAAACAAACTACAGACCCTCTTCGCTCAATAATCAAGATCAGATGGCCAGCCAGAAAAGATCAGCAACAGAGATCCCTGGGAGCGAAACAACCAGGAACCGATTGTGAAACAAATAGGCAGGAAGAAATGGAGATGGACTGTCTCGCCATACTCTGAGGAAACCATCAAGTGACATCATTAGACAAGCCATTGCTCGAGTGGAACCCGAAAGGGAAGGGGCGAGTTGGTCGTCAGTGCAATGGTGACTTGGAGGAGGTCATGTGAGGAGGAGATGAAAAAGTGTGGGCAGTGTTGGAGCCAGGTGAAGACTCTGGCAGAGAACCGAACGCAATGGAGACGCACGGCTGAAGCCCTATGTTCCTCTAGGAATTAAAGGATACAATAATAATAATTAATATCGCCTAGAAGTCGAACATGTGTCACATGCATGACCACCTATCATTCTACCACTGAACTGCTGACGTGATAACTGTAGTGTGACTACGCAAAAGATATTATAGGCATAAATCAATGTTCTACAACTGGGGGGTGCGTGATAAGGGTGGGGGTGAAGAAAACTTCTTGTAAACAGTTTACAAGAAACTTAAACACAAATGATCATTTGAGAAGAACTAAAAGGAGAGAGAGAGAGAGAGAAATCACTAGTATTCATTCATTCATTAATCCACCGATTAGTAACGCCTGATTTTGAAAAGAAAAATACTATTTTAGGTGTGCCGTATATAAAAATACTTTTTTTCACAAATATCTGGAGACAATTCTATTCCATGTACTCTTTTTTTTAGCACTAATGGGAAAGAAACAAATAAATAAAAAAAATGATAATAAAATAAATAAAACTCAGACGTAAATAAAAAAGTTTGATGATGGAGATAAGGCGGAAAGCCTATAAAAGAGTTCTGATTTCATGTTAATGTACTAAGTAGTCTCAAATCTAAATTGCACTATATAGTGAAAATCTCTGCTTGACAAGAGACTAGAGAAGTTGAAATAGCCAGAAGAAAAGAAGAAAAAAAGAAAACTGATTGTAACTTCTAGACATTTATGTTTGGAAATTCTAGTAGGAGGTGGAAGATTAATCTCCTGGGGAAAAGTGTAAGGAGGATAAGAAAACATATGTATGCATGAATGAAATGAACAGATGAATTAGATAGAAGATGACTAAAGCATGCTTTGTTTTCTTTCAAAGACTCATACTCTTTCTTCTATACTCGTTGACTTTAGTCATTATGAATTTCTCTGTTGTCCCATTAAAAAAATGAGTATTATGCACTCTCTTTTAACATATGCTAGTTGTAAATTTGTTAAATAAACACTTTATGATTCCTCCGTCTCTCTATCTCTAACTCTCTTTTCCTAGCCTATACGTCCTAAGGGCTGAATAGTCAATGGGCTTAACTTGCTGACTGTAGGATTCAATCCCCGGTAGGGTATTGGTTATTTACTTCTGAAGGTCCCCAAACTAGAGGGAAAAAGAGCTATCTAGCCATACCCGTTAGACGTTGGCAGCTCAGTTATAGAATGCTCGCCAGCCTTACTTACGAGTGGCTTAGGTTCGAATGTTAGCCGACGTACTCCTCAACCCCGTAAGTAGTTTCATAGCTGGTTATAAGCCCAAAAGAAATGGAAAGCTGAGCCTAAGGCAAGCGATCATAGTGCCTAAAAGACAATAACAGCACCACTAATGAAACTTTAAAGCTTGAGGCCCCATGTTCTATTTTTTTTATTCCTTCACGTTCCCAGTGGAACATAGGGCTTCAAGCTATTGTCTTGAAGTTTCTGTAGCAGTGTT